TGGGAAAAAAAGGCAGGGGAAAAAAAAGATGGGAGAAAAATAGGCTGGGAAAAAAAAGGGAGATGCAAACTTGGTGGTCCTTTGCAGGGAAAGCAATCCGTGCAGGACAGGGCTGGCTCCGAGGTGGCCGCAGTACCTGCAGTCGGCAATGACATCGTCCAGCAGTTGGTTCCCCAGCGCCTCCAGCTCGGCCGGGGAGCGCTTGGACTGCAGGGCCAGCTGGAGCTGCTCCAGGTTGGCTTCCTGGGGGAGAGGTGGGGATGAGGAGCTCAGTTCAGCAGGGAACCCCCAGAACCAAACCCCACACCCAGGGGTCACTCCCCGGGATCAGAGACTCAACCCTGGGCCCCCACCAGGGCCCTCCACCCCCAGCTTAGAATTCCAGGGGAAACAAAAGGGAAATGCAGCAAGAAATCCCATAAATAGCTCAGGAGCTAAAGGAAGGCCCCATCCCTGGAAGTGTCCAAGGCCAGGCTGGATGGGGCTTGGAGAAACCTGGGATAGTGGGAGGTATCCCTGCCCATGGCAGGGGGTGGAATGGGATGGGCTTTTAGGTCACTTCCAAACTAAACTATTCCAGGAGCCCCTCTGCTCTGGAGCCAGGCTGGGAGAGCTGGGGGCGTTCCCCTGGAGAAGAGAAGGCTCCAGGGAGAGCTGAGAGCCCCTGGCAGGGCCTAAAGGGGCTCCAGGAGAGCTGGAGAGGGACTGGGGACAAGGCATGGAGGGACAGCACACAGGGAATGGCTTCCCACTGCCAGAGGGCAGGGACAGATGGGATATTGGGAAGAAATTCTTCCCTGTGAGGGTGGGGAGGCCCTGGCACAGGTTGCCCAGAGAAGCTGTGGCTGCCCCTGGATCCCTGGAAGTGTCCAAGGCCAGGCTGGACCAAGCTGGGCTGGTGGAAGGTGTCCCTGCCCATGAAACCGGATGATCCTTAATATCCCCCCCAACCCAAGCCATCCCATGACTCCATGCAATCCCTGCCCTCCCAGCCCTGCAGCAGGGGCTGGCAGGACAAAGCCCCACCCCGAGAGGGTAAGAGCGGCCCCATTCCCCCCATCACCCCCTGGGCTGAGCAGGACACTCAGAACACCAAGAGGATTTTCCCTCCACAGCCCAAGAGCCACCAAAGCCCGAAGCTGAGGTGGCCTCTGTGCCCTCCCTGTGCCCAGGAGGGGGGCAGCAGGACTCTCAGGACACTCACCAGCCGGTGGGCTGCGTGCAGCAGCAGGTTCTGGGCGTCGGTGCGGCAGCTGATGTCCTCCCAGTAGGACGACAGCACCACCACGGGCTTCACGTTCCCCCAGGGCAGGTAATAGTACTGGCACCCTGCAGGACAGCACTGCTGAGCTGGGGGTAACGGGACACCCACCCCTCAGGACAGGGGATGGAGGAGGGCACAGCAGGCTCTGGGCAGGAGATCCTCTCTGAGGGGGTTCTGCAGCCAGAGGGTGGGGATGGTGCTGCCCAGAGCCCAGCGAGGTCCAAAGGGACGTGGGTCAGGCTGCGTGGATGTGGCAGTGAAGTCAGACACCAGCACAACAACCCCTCTGGGGTGAGGACATCCCACAGCAGGAGCCAGGGAACGGTTATCCCAAACACTGGCTCTTCCCTGGGAGACAAACGGGCACTGGGAGTGCCACGGGGGTCCCAAAAACCACCTCAACCGGCACAGAACTGAGAGCAGTCCCAGCTGCCCCGCTCCTCCCCACTCACATATTCCCCAGGGCTGAGGTGGGAAGAACCTCTGGAGTCCCCCTGGTCCAAGCCCTGCTCAGGCAGGGTCACCTTCAGCAGCTTATCCAGGATCACCTGGATACAACCCCTGGCTTCCCATCCCTGCAAGTGCCCGAGGCCAGGTTAGACGGGGCTTGGAGCAACCCGGGCGAGTGAAACTGGATGAGCGTTGAGGTCCCTCCCAGCCCGCTCCACGATCCCATGACCACATCCCGCTGGGATTGGAGCACCCCCAGGGACCGAGACTCACCATCGAAGACAGCCCTGCTGTACTGGGTGGTGGAGGCCAAGGGCAGGCAGGTGTTGTCGAACTTGTTGCCGTAGTTGCCGATGCTGACCTCGAACTGCACGGCGGCGTCCACGCCCTGCAGCATCGTGGCCGAGTAGAAGGCGGCGAACAGGGAATATTTCCGGCGGCGCAGGAACTTCTGCAGCGGGAACAGGAGCGTGGACGTGGAGGACAGGCCACCACTGCCCTCCTGGACACCCATCCAGAGAGTCCAGGGAAGGGGCTGGAGCAGCAGGAGGGGCTGAGGGAGCTGGGGGGGCTCAGCCTGGAGAAAAGGAGGCTCAGGGGGGACCTTCTGGCTCTGCAATCCCTGACAGGAGGGGGGAGCCGGGGGGGGTCGGGCTCTGCTCCCAGGGAACAGGGACAGGAGGAGAGGGAACGGCCTCAGGCTGTGCCAGGGAAGGCTCAGGTGGGACATCAGGAGGAATTTCTCCCTGCAAAGGGTGGTCAGGCCCTGGCAGGGGCTGCCCAGGGAGGTTTGGAGTGCCCAGCCCTGGAGGTGCCCAAGGCAGGCCTGGCCGTGGCACTCAGTGCTCTGGGCTGGGGGACAGGGTGGGGATGGGGCACAGGGGGATCCATGGGCTGGGAGGGCTTTTCCAGCCTCAAATGATCCTGGGATTCAGGGACCCTTCACTGCCCCAGCACACACAGCTCAGCGAGGCCTCCAAGATGGGAATTTCTTTGTAGGGCAGAAAACCACACTTTACAGCACATGAATTTTGGGGGAGATATTTAGGAGAACCCTGACTAAGAGAAGACCACAACTTCTCATGGAAAATGCAGCTGAAAGGTGAAAAATGAGGAAAAGGAGCAAATGTGGGAAAGCACTGGTGTGGAGGCAAATCCTCCTCCATGGGACCTCCCAGCCCCTTCCAGGGCCTAAAGGGGCTCCAGGAGAGCTGGAGAAGGACTGGGGACAAGGGATGGAGAGACAGGACAGGGGGGAATGGCTTCCCACTGGAAAAGGGGAGATTTGGGTAGGATATTGGGAAGGAATTCCTGGCTGGGAGGGTGGGCAGGCCCTGGCACAGGTTGGGCAGAGAAGCTGTGGCTGCCCCTGGATCCCTGGAAGTGTCCAAGGCCAGGTTGGAGCAACCTGGGCCGGTGGAAGGTGTCCCTGCCCATGGGAACTGGATGATCTTTCAGGCCCCTCCCAGCCCAAACCATTCCATGATTCCATGTTCCCCATGGTCAGCTCACACCACACAGCAGCTCGGATGGATCAATCCTGACACTTTGGAATGGAATTCGGCAGGAGGCACCTCCAGGAGCTCCCCAACCGTGGGACCCACCCAGGACCAACTCCCACATCCCTTCCATTGTGTCCCACGTGCCCACAGGGCCGGACACCCCCCAAAACCCCCCGGAGAGCCCATTACCTCCACCCTCAGGATGTCATCCGCAGGGATATCCTCCACCTTCTGCTCCATGTGCTCCACCAGCTTGGTCTCCAGCTCCACCAGCATCCTGCCACGGTAGGCAACTCCCTCTCCCTTGGGACAGAGCAGGGAGAAGCGTCAGGATCCCGGCATTCCCTCCCCACGGACCAGCTGTGCCTTTGTTTTTCCAGGAGCTCCCTTGCGGAGGACAAAGAGCGGGCAAAGAAGCTTCGGCGGGTGATTCCCGGGTGGGAAGCTCCGGGAGCAGAGCGGAGCCGGGAGGTTTGAGGCAACGGGAATAGCCAAGGAAGAGCAGGAATCACAGGCCAGGCTCCTGCTGCCGGAGCCAGGCTGGGTTAGGAGCGGCTGGGCAGGAGGAGCTGCCGGGTTAGTTGAGGCCACGGCGCGGAGCAGCCGCTGTCACCTTTCCCAGATTGAGGCTCTCGTAGGGATCGGGGAATCCCGTGAATTCCCGGGGGCTCCCGTACAGGTTGATGTAGCAGGGGCCGAAGGTCGGCAGGAATCCGAGCCCGTCATCCACTGGGAATCACAGGGAGAAGCCATCAGGGGGGCCCAGCCACGGCCCCGGGGAACACGGGGGGCTAGAGGCACCGAAATGCTGAGGTTTGTGCCCAGCTGGAGCCCTGTGAGCACTCACCTCAGGGCAGCACACAGACACGCTGGGGGGGCTGTGTCCCGGGAAAAACGGGAATTCCCAGCCCCAGGAAGGGTCCCCAGGGAAGGGGGGACAGCAAGAGAGGGGGGCTTGGACAAGAGGAAGAGTGACAGGGTGAAAGGACACGGCCTCAGACTGCACTAGGGGTGAGCTGAGGTTGGATATCGGGAAAATTCCTTCCTGGAAAGGGCTGTCCAGCCCTGGCACAGCTGCCCAGGGCACTGGAGGTGTCCCCATTCCCACAGGAATTTAAAATCCATGTGGATGTGGCACTCTGGGACACGGTCAGGGGGTGGCCTCAGCAGTGCCGGGGGAATGGTTGGACTTGATGGATCACAGGGATTTTCCAACCTCACCAGTTCTGTGATTCCTTGAAGAGAATCACCCCTTTCCAGGGAACTCTGGGCAGGAATCCTTGGCAGGGCTCTGCCCTGAGCTCCCCGGGCCAACAGGGGCACCCCAAAGGGCAGGGGAGCCCCTTCCCTGCTCCCACAGAGCAGGAGGAGGCCAAGCCAGAGCCATTCCCTTCTCCCAGGGTGCCCAGACTGAACCCAGCTGATCCTCCCCCAGCCCGGACACTGAACCAGTAAAACCAGTCCCGAGCAGCGACCAAACTGGGACGATGAGGGGACGTACGGTCTGAGGCCTTCAGGGGCTTCGAGGGAGCAGGAAACTCATCTGGGGCACAAAGAAAGGCAGAGAGGTCAGGAAAAGCTGGAAGAGGAGCATGGAAAAGGGATGGAAAGGCACAGGGAATCAGGGTGGGTGTTTCTGGGCTTCAGTGCCAAGAGACAGGAGAGAGACAGAGAGGGAAAGGGAGAGGCTGTCACGTGGAATCATGGAATGGTTTGGGTTGGAAGGGACCTTAAAACCTATCCAGGGACACCTCCCACCAGCCCAGGCTGATCCAAGCCCATCCAGCCTGGCCATCCCGTGTCCCTGGGGATGTTCCTGGTGGGGCGGGGGGTCCCAGGGCACCCGAGATGCCCGAAGGCAGATGGGACATTCCCGGTGGGATCCACATGCCAAGGAGGTGTTGGCAGCAGGACAGGCTCATGCAGGACGGGGCAGGCTCTGCTCCTGGCCCTCAGCAGCCCCAAAACTGTCCCCCTGGCACAGGTGACAGTGTCACCCTGCCCATCCCTGCCAGTGTCACCCAGCCCATCCCTGCCAGCACCTGAGGGTCCTTGGAAACCCCCTGGGACTGGGGACAGCCCGAGCTGGGTCTGTGAGAGCTGGATCCCACCCTGTGACAGCCCCTAAATCCCCCCTCAGGAGGAGCCACCAGTGGGGCCACAGGGTGGATGTGGCATCTGCCAGCTCTGGTGACACCACCGCTGTCCCCAACCCCACAGGGGACCGTGGCCACCTCCAGGAAGAGGATCCAAACCTCCAGCGCTCCTGGGGGGACCAAAGACCTGCCAACCCCCAAAGCAGGACCGGGTGACCCCCAGGACCCCGTCCCACGCGCCCAGGCAGGGACAGTGACAGCTGTGACACCCCCCAAGCCACCACCAACCTCCAGCCACTCCATGCAGAGCTGCTCCATGGCCATGCATCCCAAATCCCAGCCCCCTTCCCGCCCTTACCCTCCAGCTCCCCGCCGGGGGCCGAGATCTTGGACATGGCCAGGAAGGCGGTGCCGATGACGTCGTTGTGGCTCAGGCGGTCCCTGGGGCAGGACAGGGGACACCGTCACACCGGGGGTCCCTCCGTGCCCACCCCGCTGCTCCGGGCACGGGGAGCCCCCTGTGTGCTCACCAGTCGGTCACACGGATCCTCATTCGCTCACACATGGACGGGAACTGGGAAAAGAGCCGGGAATGGTGAGGGATGGGGGGGTCAGGGCCTGGGGGGGGTCCCGGGGACACCAGTGCTCACCATGGCCGGCACAGTCAGGCACTGGTTCCACTGGGGGTTGGCGTTCTTCTCCAAGATCCTCGAGTAGAGCTGGAGGGGCAGGATGGAGGAGGGAACAATCAGTGCTGCTCACACCACCTCGGGAGCCAGGAAGCCTCGGGATCCCCAAAATCCCACCTCCATCCCAAGGGTGACCCTGGGGCCTCTGCAGCCCCCTCAGTGCAGGAGGCAGAGGATGTTGTGGGATGCTCAGGGATCTCCCCAGCTGAGGACCACCAGAATGATGTCCCAAGCCTGTGTTTCCCCCCCCCAGATGGTGTTCCCATGGGAAGATCCACGGGAAGGGGAGACTTCCAGCCCCTCAGTGCTGCTGTGGCTCAAAGGGCAGCCCATGGGATCAGCCTCTCCAGACTCTTTGTGAGGCAACAGCACCAGGAAGAGCCAAGAGAAGAAACTGCTCTGATGGCACCACACGGATCCCAGCATGTCACACACACAGGGATAGGGCTGGGAATGGGGCTGTCCCACTGCCATCCCATTCCAGGGGCCCAGGAGCGACTGTCCCACTGCCATCCCATTCCAGGGGCCAGGAGGGACTGTCCCACTGCCATCCCATTCCAGGGCCCAGGAGGGACTATCCCACTGCCATCCCATTCCAGGGGCCCAGGAGGGACTGTCCCACTGCCATCCCATTCCAGGGGCCCAGGAGGGACTGTCCCACTGCCATCCCATTCCAAGGATCCCGAGGACCCCCCCCAGGCCCTGCCCAGGCAGCACTGACCGTCCTGCCGGCAAAGCTGACTTCCACGAAGGGATCCACCAGGTTCTTCCTGTTGCTCTCGAAGCCGAAGATCTGCCGGACGTTGTCCACGACGGCGTCATCCACTGGCAGGAGGAGGGGACATTAAAGCCCAAGGAATTCCGGGAGCAGCGTCCTCGTGGTCCTGGCTGTCCCACCGGCTTTTCCATCGGGGAGAAGCTCCCCAGGTGGATAAAACCGGTCTGCACCAGCAGGAGACCCATGTCCCAGTACAGCACCACTGGTTGGTGTCTGCAAGGTCTTTGGGCCAAGGCTATGGATAATTCCCCCCCCTGAGCCCCAGTTCCTCCCGGGAATGCCGCAGTGCCAAGGGATCCGGGGCGCTCCGAGAAGCAAACACCTACTTTGGGGCAAATCCTCGGCTTTGAAGATCCTGAGGCAGAACTGGGCCCCCCGCAGGGCGACCCCCGTGGGGCGCAGCAGGTTGGCCTCGATGTCCTCCTTGTCCTCAGACACCTCCTTCTTCTCCAGCTGCAGGGGGACAGGGCGAGGGGAGAGCTCAGCCAGGCTTCCCCACAGTCCTGCAACGAGCAGAAGAACCCCCAGAGAGAGAGGGGTTGCCCCGGGAGCTGTGGATTCCCCATCCCGGGAAGCGTCCAAGGCCAGGTTGGACGGGGCTCGGAGCAGCCTGGGGTATTGGAAGGTGTCCCTGCCCGTGGAACTGGATTTAAGGTCCCTCCCAGCCCGAACCAGGCTGTGAATCCATGACAAAAAACAGCACTTTGCCCCCGAAAGGGAGGGAGATCCAATCTGCAGCTTCCCTGGGAAGAGACAGGGGGTTTGGCGGCCCAGGGAGGTGGAAGGTCCCACGGGATCCAGGGGGATACTCACAGGAGCTTCATCTCCAGGCCCCAGCACGAAGACGCTGACCTTGAGGTAGCCCTTGGCCCCCGCGGAAAGATCCTCTGGATCGGAGAGCAGGAGCCACTTCCTGAGGAAAGCGTGTTCTGGGGGTGGGAAAGAGATGGAGAGCCCTCAGCCCTGCTCCAAGGATGCTCTGGGAAGGGGCTCTAGGATAAATACCAGGTTCCTTTATATAGAACAAGGGAATATGTCAGCTGGAAGGGATGTGGGAACAGGGAAGGAATAGGTTGCCCACAGGAGCTGTGGCTGCCCCTGGATCCCTGGAAGTCTCCAAGGGCAGGTTGGACGGGGCTTGGAGCAACTCGGAATAGTGGAAGGTGTCCCTGCCCACAGCAGAGGGTGGGACTAGGTGGGATTTGAGATCCCTTCCCACCCAAACCAGCCTGGGGCTCCCTGGTGATGGACACAGGGACACAGCCGGGTTTGTCCATGGAAGAGCCGCGATTTGTGTCCGCCTTTCCCAACGGTTGGCCCCCAAAAACAAAAGGGGTTTCCCAAAGCTCACTTGGCTCGGAGTAAACGGATTCCACGTCCATCTGCGGGATAGAAGGGAATTCCAGAGTTCATCCCGTGGGTCAGTGTGGGGGGAAAAGGGGGAGGGGGACGGGGAGGGAACACCGTACCCGGAACTCCCCGATCACCGAGTCCGTGCGGAAAGACCGGGAATCCACCACCTGGGGAGGGGTGAGAACACGGGAAAACAGTCATTCCAGCCCCGATCCGCCCAGGAGGGAGGATCCCACGGCGTGCCCACGTGGGAAGGAGGCGGATCCCGGGGATCCCCACTCACAGTGATGAAGATGGGGGTGTCAAACAGCTCGGCCGGCGACTCGAAGACATTGAAGAAGAAGGTCTGTGGGAAAGAGGGATCGGGCTGGGGGAGCTTCCCGGCCTCTCCCAAACCCCCAGCTCCACAGGATGGAGCCTCCCGGTGCTCCCAAGCGGGGCTGGAGCGGGAATCCCCCTCACCTCGTCAAAGAAGGGGCTGTTCCCCTTGCGGATCCGCGTCCTCTTGGTGTGTCCGGCCGCCGTCACCTTCACCACGGGGCGGATGTTGGTCCCGGGGAGCTGCCGGGCCTCGATCACCCGCACCCGGATCTGGGACACACACGGGGGGAACAGGGATTAAAGACAGCCCCAAAAACCTCCCAGAATCCCACCTCAGCCGAGGGGAAATACACCAAATCCCGCTGCAGTTTTAAACGGGAAGGTAACTTCAGCTTTGAGAAAATTAAGGAGATTTCAAGCTTGAAATTTAAATTGAATTTTTGAAAAATTTAGGGAGGTTTTATGTTTGAAGTTAAGTGGATTTTTTCCTTTTAAATTCGCATCATTTTAAGTTACAAATTAAATTGGATTTTTGAGAACTGAATTAAATTTTAAAGTTGGCGTTAAGTTTTTAATTTTAAAATTAAATTTTTAAACATTTTGGGCAATTTTAAATTTGAAAGTAAATTGAATTTTTAAAAATGTAAGGCGATTTTACATTTGAAATGAAATCTAATTTTCCTTTAAATTTGCATCATTTTAAGTTAGAAAATAAATTGGATTTGTAAGAATTGCATTCAATTTTAAAATTGACATTAAACTAAATTTTTAAAAATGTAAGGCAATTTTAAGCTTGAAATTTAATTGAATTTTTAAAAATTTATTGCGGTTCTACATTTGAAATCAAATGGAATTTTTTTTAAAATTCACATAACTTTAAGTTAAAAATTAAACTGGATTTTTAAGAACTGAATTAAATTTTAAAGTTGGCATTAAATTGAATTTTTAAACACTTAAGGCAATTTTAAATTTGAAATTAAATCGACTTTAAAAATGTAATGCAATTAAAATGCATTAATTGCTATTATTAATAATAATAATAATTATTAATTACTAATTAACGCTTCGGGGGCACCTGTGAGGTGCTGAACCCTCCATAGGGACAAACTGGGGTGTTCTTGAGGGATTCCAGGGGAGCAGCTCATTCCCATCCCACTGTTCCCAACCCATCTCACCATTCCCATCCCATCCCATCACTCCCATCCCACCCCACCATTCCCATCCCACCCCACCATTCCCATCCCACCAACCAAACATTTCCATTCCACCACCCATTCCCATCCCATCCCACCATTCCCATCCCATCCCACCATTCCCATCCCATCAACCAAACATGTCCATTCCATCACCCATTCCCATTCCCATCCCATTCCACCAACCATTCCCATATCACCCATCACTCCTACCCCACCACCCACTTCCACTCCATCCCACCAAGCATTCCCATCCCACCCATCCTTCCCATCCCAACCCTATGGAAGGTTGGGACCCACTGACCCACCACTTATTCCCATCCCACCACCATTCCTATCCCACCGTCCATTCCCATCCCATCCCACCGTCCATTCCCATCCCATCCCACCATCCATTC